TAAAAAATTATATCATATCTATTATGAACAATAAATTATTATTTTATTATTTTTATTGTATCATCATTAGTTATATCCATTAATTACATCATTTATTTCATTGATAATCCAAGTTCTGTCTTTGCATTGGATTTCAGTACATGATCATTTTAGACATGGATTCTAGTCATTGTAAATTGAGATTCAAATGTCATTTATGAAACAGCTATCCAAACATAGAAAATCCACATTCACAACTTGCAGAATTTGGGCATATTGAAAACAGATGACATGCTAATGTTGAAAGAGTATCTGGTTGTGAATCTGTGTCAATAAGATTCCACCAGCTTCTAGGATCATCTGAACAGCAAACAATATCAAGGTCAAATGGCTCTTCATGATCCTTATATTTTCGTAACTGCACACACAAGATTTTTGACTCATGGAGGTCAAATTCTAACCTTTTCCCAATTGTCATTGCACATTTGACAACCTTTGCATATGCTCCTTTTTTGAGAGGTGTATTCCTAAAATGGGGATCTAAAAAAAGCATGTAAGGTACTTGTCATCATCAAACTCATTGGATCTTTCATTCATTACCTTAAAACAATGATTACAGAATGTTTGATTGAATGATTTTTGGTAATTTTTTTAAAACTGCTGCCAATCATACCAAGTTTAAAAAACAGTTGGAAAGTGTTACTGATCTTGACTCTAAAGCTAACACTGCTTTCCTTAAAGGGTCCAAAAAATAGACAATTTTTCTCCATCTGATTGCTTAGTATCTGAATCAAGTTATTGATTGTGATTCTTTATGCTCATTGATGTTTGAATGTTCTTTGATTTTATCTAACCTAAAAGCATCTGTACCTCTTGAAAATTTTGGCATTCCACCTCTGTTTCTACAAAGTTTACAAGAAATTAATATATATCTATTGAACCAACTTTTATTCTATAATGTGATCTTTCTATTGTTTGTTGTAATTCACCAATTTCATCACTATTTATTTAATTCATCATCTGATGATTCAATAAGTTCCATTGTTCGAATTGAAATATTAAACTCTTTTCAGGCATTTTATTTTTTTTTAGAGTTGTAGTTTTTCTTTTTCAGACTAAGATCTATTTGGGTTAGCATTTTTATTTTTATTTTTTTGTTTGCAAATAAATTATGCAAAGTACAAGAATGAAGTCAAGACAATAATAAAATCAAAAATGAAGATAGTATTGTTAAAGAAACATGATTGGCTAAGTTTCAAAATATCTAATTCCAAACAATATTTTCTTGGATAATATTAGGAGCCATTTGATAAAATATAAATAGCAATAAAATAATATTAAAGACATGATTTGATATTTTTAATTACACGGATTTTTGCACAAATCCTTAGTCACACGCGGTCTTTCCAAAAAATGGAATTCACGTGATTTTGGTGTAATTATAATATAAAATTATTATTAATATTAATTCCAACAAAGATGACAACGAAGTTAAGACCAACCATAAAAAGATTTAATTCATTACTGAATGGATATTTAAAAAATAATTCAATTGAAGACGTAGAAGAAATATTTAAATGTATGAAACATTTGGATATTAATCCAAATATAACAATATATAATACAATATTAAACAATCTATCGTTAAAAAATGATATTGAAGGTATAGATAAACTTTACAATGAAATTATTTCATCACCATCACCACCATCACCACCACCATCACCATCATCAAACAAATTATCAAGAAAAACAAAAAATGATTTATTAAAACCTAATATTTATACTTATTCAATTTTAATAAATAGTTATTTAAAATTTGGATTAACAGATAAAGCATTAGATTTGTTTATTTCATTGGTTAGACAAAAGAAAGATATTAATCAAATATTTAATAGAACATCAGCATTTAAAATATTTAATATAAAACAACAAAATGAAATTTACAATCAAGTATTTAAGGAAGAAATTGATAATAATATTATTATTAATAGCAGCAGCAGTAGTGATAGCAATATTAATAAATATAATATAAACATAGTACCAAATATAAGATTTTTAACCATTCTATTACAATTTAAATTAAAACAATCCAAAGATTTCAATTCATCATATAAAATATATCTAGATTTTTTAAAGAAAATAGAAACCAATCAACAAAAAGAAGTTACAATAGTAAAAGTCAAATTAAAAAATAATAATAAAATAGTAAAACTAATACCAGATGCACATATATTCACAATATTTATTACAGAATTTGCATATAGATATGAAAACATGCCCATGGCAATAAAAGTATATGAAACAATGTTAAAATATAATATTTCGCCAAATGTTGTAACATTCACAATATTAATTGAAGGATTTGGTATGTCAGGCGAGCTAGAAAAGGCCTTAGAATATTTTAATATAATGACAAATAAATATAACATTAAACCAAATGTTAAAACTTATACAAGTTTAATCAAAGCATTAGTTAAAACAAAAAATTTAGAAAAAGCTGAGCAAGTTTGGTATCAGATGATTAAAGAAGGAATTAAACCTGAAAGAGCAACTTATAAAGTGTTAAAACATATCAATGATGATAATTATCTTTTTCCAAGAACTCCTCAGAAAATTAAAGATGCAATATATCGTTTAGATTTAATTAAAAATATTCATAATGTTGATACTGTATATGAATTATATAAAAATTTCATAAAATTAAATTTTAAAAATAAATACAATAACACCAATGACAATTCAGCATTAGCACATAAAGACATTGATTCAAAAACTGATGTTTGTTCATTCACCATGTTTATATCAATATTTTCATTAAGATTTGGTGATATGCAAAAATCATTAGAAATATTTCAGGCGATGTTAAAATACAAAATCAAACCAAATACTATAACATTCACAAAATTAATAGAGGGTTTTGCTAATTTGGGTAAATTAGAAAATTCTTTAAAAATCTTTAACTTAATGAAATCATGTAATGTAAAGCCAAATATACATACTTACGCATCTTTAATTAAAGGCTATATTAGTATTAGAGAAAATGAAAAAGCAAAAAAAATTTATGATGAAATGTTAGAAAATGGTATTGAACCTAATAATGATATAAAAAAAATTTTGTATCAATATATTATTAAATAAATAAATATCTTTTTTGTTTTTTATTTTTATTATTATTATACTGTATATATTATTTTATTATATATAATGCAATAATAATTATTATTATATAAATAATACAGAAAATCAAAATTAATTAATTAATTACAAAAATAAAAATAAAAATGTCCTTTTCCCTTTTCCCTTCTAATTCAAAAAAATAATGAGATAGAATATGATGAATATATATATATAGGAAAACCTGCAAAAAAAATAATTCTTTGAATGTTGTCTTATAATGCTATGATCTCTTTGTGTGTAATATTCACAATCCTACTTTATAAAAAAGTAGGTAAGAATGTGTGATTATGAATATGTGATTGTTGATAATGATAATGATAACAATGATAGACTAATATATAAATAAAGTAGAAAATATTATAATGCTATATAATCATTTTTTCTTTTTTAAAAAAAAAATTGAATAAGCCCAAAAAAATTTAGCACGAACAAAATCCATCATTATTTGATTTTTGTTTGTCCTGTGAAAATATATTAACATTATTATTAATTGTTTTGTCAACTTTTTTCTGCCATATAGTTGGATCTTCAATAATCTAAAAAATCATTATTGGTATGATAACATAAAATGATTAATTATAATTATTCTATGTAATCAATAATAATTATAATTATAACAACCTTTCTAACAAGTTCAGCAAATGCTTCTTCCACACCATATTTTGTTTTAGCACTACATTCTGTATATAAAGTTTGTACTTTTTTTGCATATGCTTCACCTTCTTTACGTGAAATTGCTCTTTCAGTTCCCTAAAATCATAATGCAAAATTCAATACAAAATATTAAAATAAAATAAATTACCACACATAATCAAAGTAATGATTAATAATTGATTACTTAACTATTTTTGCCTTATCTATTTTATTACCAATTATAATTTTTGCTATATTTTTATTTGAACAATAGGTATTTAATTCATTAAACCAATTATCCAATTGATCAAATGTCTCACGAATTGATACATCATATACTAGAAAAAAGAAAATATTAATGTCATTAAATAATTAAAATCATGCACACAAATATAACATATATATATATATATACTTTATTATCTATCACATACCAAATATAACACCTTGAGCACCGCGATAATATGAAGATGTTAATGTTCTAAAACGTTCCTGACCTGCAGTATCCTAAAATTAATATTAATAATATAATTGTCATTTAAACATAGAAAAATAAAATCTTCTTGACAAAACAAAACAATCGAATTCTACTTCAAAATATTTTAATAAAACAAATACCCAAATTGTTAATTTATACTTCTTTCTGTCTACAACCATTTCATGTACTTTAAAATCTACCCCTGTTGTATAATCATTTAAGTATCTTATATATATTTGATTAATAAATAATTTTCTGTTTAATTTGTTTTATAATTACCTATTGTTGCTGATACTTCATCATGTGGTAAAAATGTGTCATCAGTAAATCTTAATAGAAGAGACGATTTTCCTACGTTTGAGTTACCAACAAGAAGAATTTTAAGTGTTGCAAAGTAATCATTATTATTATTAATTTTATTAGACATGGTTTTTCAGAAAAGAAACTTATTTTTATTATTTTTAATAAATTTTAATTATTAATTTTTTTTTTAATTTGAAAAAGAAAAAAATGAGAAGACTTGGTTATTATTAATAATAAAATAGACATTTTTACTTAGCATCTTGTTATATATATAATAATAAATATATACATATATTTGTTGATGAATGACATAAATAAACTTTTTTATATTGTTATTTTAATTAAAATTTAAAATCGAAAAGATCATCAATTTTGTAATGTTATCGGTCATGTGAATTAGTCGCGTGCATAAATTAAACTACAATGAGCTACGATATAAATGGTTATTCCATTTGCAAAGTGTTAGCCTTTAAATATAATTACTAGTATCACTATAACCATTCCAATTAAGTCCGCGTTAGAGAAAGAGAAACTAAATCAAACGATGAAAATTTGAAACGACTCTGCAATTGACTTTTAAAAGACCTATCACTGACGAATAAAGTTCCGAACGAATCAATGAAATTCGAACCCGATTCGAATCGAATTGTACTCTGATTCGATTCGATTCGAACTGATTCAACTCAACTCGATTCGAACTAGTGATGGTGGCCGAAACTACGCTTAGTGGAACCGAAATTTCCGAAATTAATTGGCTAAACTTTGAAGAAACTAATTTTAATGGCTGAAATTGTGAGTTTTTAAAATAAAGTAGATTGATTTAGATACTTATTGGACGAAACTACCTTTTTTTCAAAAACAGTTTCGGTTACAATCACTAAATAATATCCTTTATCAATTAAAAATTTAAAATATACACAATCTTGGTTTAGCAGATAGTTTGAGTTTAGAAAAAATTTTCCAAAAACCCGTTATTATAATATTTCAAACCTTGTCACAGAGGACTATAATAATATAATAATAATAATAATAATAATAATAATTAAATTCTTGTCATAACGGATTTTTAAAATTTTTGCTTCACATATAAAAACATAAAATTTTCCTTATTATTATATCCGTTGTGACTTTATCAAGAAATCCATTATATTGAGAAGAATTTTATTATTATTATTATTATTAAACCTCAATCTGTTATTATCCATTAAATTGAGGCACACTACATTGAGATTCACTGTATTTAATGACATTAATGTTAAGAAAAATTTAGGAATCCGGTTTGATTCGAATCAAATCAAATCAAATCACTTTAAAATTCGATTCGATTCGGAGCCTTATATGAGAGATTATTAAAATATTTCAATATAAGAGATCAATTTATCTTTGGATTGATACAAAAAAAGATTGAAAGAGTTCTTTCTATAATCAATACACCATGTCCTCAGACTGAGTCCTTCTATATATCTTTTGATATGGAAATTACACTATATGAATTAGTTAAAAAACTATCTGAAAATGAATCTTAATTTAAACTTCATTGTTCTCAAGTTCAATCCCAAGTTTTTTGCATATTTATATGCTTCCATATTTCTGCATCAGTATACAAACCTGACTTCCTTTCTTTCTCATATTCTCTGGCTCGATATAATTCCCTTAAAGTATTATATTTGGTTTTTGTAAACCAGATCATATCATATTTTGGGTGAGCATGATGTTTGCCACTTTCATCCTTTTTATATATCTCAGCTTTGTGCTCACCGACCCATTCCTTTGTCTGGTTACCTTGGGTGCTTTCAGCTTCGATTTCTTCTATTTCTTTATAAAAATATTAATTTTAGGCAGTGGTATAATACTTGCTCTCAGGGTTATAATTACAATACTTCAATTTATTGTATTTTGGGATATTGTGTCCCCTTATTTTTAGCATATTTCCCAGATGAAATAGCTTTAGCTCTTGGCCTCTTTGGTGTAGTTAACTCTGGTGTTTTCGCCTCTACATACTTGATTTTTTCTTTTGCCTCTACTAGATCACCAGCTTCAAATGGGGCTCTACTATCATCAAGGGATTTTAGTGCATTGCTAATATAGTTAAATGCTTGGTCAATATATTCAAACATTTTTGGTTTACTTTATATAGATTGCAGAAATGTTTAATTTGAAAATTTTTATTGATTTTTAGTTTTCTTGTTTTGATATCAACTACTCTGCTTTGCTATGCAGATTGTTTTCACTTTGTTCTCTGTCTATTTGTGTACTGAATTTTGTTTTCTTAATACCTCGCATACTTCTTTTATTTTCACTTTGTTCTCTGTACCTTGTTTTCCTTATGCTCCACTTAGTTCTGCTGACTTTCTTGCTATGCTCACAAAAAATTATTACAGAGATTTGTTCATATATATGGTTTATACAGTAAATACTATGACGAATTTTTGTTCCTTTGATGTGGCCTGGAACAAGTTTCACACTGCATTTCTATGCGGCTGGAAAAAAATTTAGTATACTATAGTATAAAACTTAATTATGTTGAAATTGATGTGAAATTAGCCTCTGGAACACCTTGTGGCTATAATGATATAAAAAGTATATATAGTAAAAATATGTGATCTGTTCCAGAAGCAGCAATATTATACAACAGGCAATACTTACAAATGGCTTTGGGTCCAATTGTTGGACCATTTGCCCAATTGAACATATACAAATGGAACACAAGAAATATTATTGTAAGAAAATAATTAATCGAAATCAGGGTAGTGTATTTTTTCTTTTTTATGCAATTTGGATTTTTGAAGCTCCATGAATTAAAATGATTTTATTTATATTTCTACTATAAATTTAAACTTATAGTTTGTTAGCTCCAGTGATGCCATTTGTAAATCTGTTGTATCTAGCAACTGGAGTTGTCATACTATTTACAACCAAGTGTCAAAATCCGCAAGTCTCTGTAATATGTAAATCATTCTGTAAACTTCAAATGTGCAAAAGTTCTAAACACTGTATATACAGGAATAACAATAATAAAATAAAAAATTAAATTAGTGTTTCTATAAATTAATTTACAGAATTACAGAATTACAAATTACAGATACATTTACAGGTTTTTTAACTAAAAATTGTCATATGGGAGTTTTCAATAGAATGGACCATGTTGTGAAAAAAGCAATTTTGAGTTAACATAATTTCTGTATGTAACTCCTCACGTAGAACATTTTAACTTAGAAGCCATACCCATTTTGCATAAGATGTTTTCTCCTCGAACTTCAAAAACAATACAGTCAAACCTTTGTTCCAACAGATTTTTTTTTTTGCTCCTTGATTTTATTAATTATAATATTAATATTAATATTAATTCACTGCATACATCAACACATTTTAGCAGATAATTTCGAGTTAAGAAATGTAACAATTCATCACTTTCCTCAAACATAACTGCACACTTGCAACCATGTGATGCAGGGATAATTCATTCTTTTAAGGTATATATTTCAAATTATTAAATTATTTATTAAATTATTTATATCAAATATATTAAATCATTTACATGTATTTATAGAAATTATTTATTGCAAGAAGATTAAAATTTAATAGAAACAAAATGGTTTAAATCCAAAGAAATTGATATTAAAAAAGCAATAAATTTTGCCTCAGTCTGGAAAAATGTTACATCAATCACTGTTAATAATTGCTGGATAAAATTTGGTATTATTCCTTTAGATTATGAAGAACAAGTTGGAGATGCAATAACATTAATACAAAATATTATAAATGATCAAAAGATGATGTTGATAATTTAATTGATAGATTAAATTTCAGTTCAGCATTAACAACAGAGGAATATACAGTGCATGAAAAAAAATTTCACAATAAAATGTGTTTTAAATAAACACAATTTTCTTTTGAAAGATTTTAACTGAAAATCTACTTGACAATGCAAACAATGTCATTGGAAAACATTGAATCTTTCAACAAGATAACAACCCTAAGCATACAGCCAAGGGTACTAAAAACTTCTTGCACAACACTGTCAAAAATGTTGGATTGGCCATCAAATAGCCCAGATCTCAATCCAATTGAGAATTTGTGGCAAATTTTTAAGGGACATGTTGAAAAGTAAGCCAATAAAGTGTTAATTTTAAAAAATCAGTTACTGCAGAAAGTTTTTGTGAAATAATTCAGAAAGAATGGGAGGGGATCAACAAAAAAAGTTTTGTTAATTTAATCTATATTATGCTGTCAAGGTTAAATGGAGTGATTGAGAAAAATGGTAATAAGGTAAGCTACTAAGTAGTTTTAAGTAAACTTATTTATCAAATCGTAAAGAGCATATCTATAAATTTTCATGTGCTGTTAGCTTTTTTTCATTTCACAATAAATAAAAATTCCATTCTGAAAACTTTTTCATGCACTGTATATCAATTGATAATGATAAGAGGAAATTCTTAATTCTTTTGAGGAAATTGAATTGTAAGTGGTACAACTATTCCTAATGTTCAATAAATGAAGCTGTAAAAGCTTTTGAAACTGCCTTTAATTTTCTTGAACAAAATAATATACAAGCAGATTATAATGAATTAAAAGCTTTAAAATCATTGGAAAAAAAATAGAATCATATAGTATTCAAAATTCAATACAAACACACATCACTAGTTTTTTCAGTAAATAATTGATATTAATTAGCATTTTGATTTTTTGTAAATAATTGATATTAATTAGCATTTTGATTTTTTGTAAATTTTATTAAGTATTTTATTAAGTATTATTATGGTGCAGGACACCACAACTTTCTGCGCCACAGAGACAGATTTGGAGTTTCGTGTTACGTGTAATTTTCAAATGTTTTCGATCGCGTGAAATGTCGTCCGACTATTATGACTTTCTGGTGTTCAATAACGGAATGTGATGGTATTATTGGTGGACCGCCTTGTCAAAGTTGGTCATTAGCTGGAAGCAAAAAGGGAAAAAGAGGAATTAGTGATAAGAGAGGGAAATTAATCCATGAATACTTGTGAATTGTTAGAGCAAAAATAGATTTTTATTTAGTTAAAAATGTAGCAATTACACATTAAACAACAATCACTTGTCAAGTTGATTTACAATAAACAAAATAATAATAGAACAATTCTTGTTTGCTTTATCAAAAGTTTTGGTATGATTGTTTGGGAACATACTACAGGCAAGACAGTAATAACATTTATCTTTTAAATAATTTTCTTCATATTAAAACATTTGAACATTAATATTACTAATTATCAATTTTATTTTCTGATATATATATATTTTCAATGAATATCAACATTGGTTAAGAGTTTTTTCTCAATTATTGCTAATAATATATACATTTATTTTATCCAATAATTATTATTTTATTTTCCAACATAATTCTTTGATATTGGTAAGAATTTTATTTTTATTTTCTCAATTACAATCAATATTACTACTAACACAAATGATTTCATCCCACATCTTTCTGAACAATTCATCTACTAATAATTTATATTTATATTCCTTATCTATTTATTTATTCAAATACCAATTATTAATTTATATTCCAACATATCTCTTTGATGTTGGTAAGAAATTTATTTTTATTTTCTCATTCTCATTTATTTATTTATTTGTCTACTAATTATTTCTTTTATTTTCTCCAATTATTATTATTATACAAAATGATTTTATTCTGAATCAATTACACACTAATAATTTATATTTATATTTTTCATCTATTTATTCATTTATCTACTAATTATAATTTTATTCTCTAGTATATGTATATCTGATACTGGTAAGAACTTTATTTTTTTTCTCTAATTACCTACAATCAATTATTACTAATACAAAACAATTTTATTCCATGTGCTACATTTATTAATCTATTATTTATTTATTTATCTATTAATTATTTTTACCTACTAATAATTATTTGCATTTCTTATCTATTTATTTATTCAAATACTAACTATTAATTTATATTCCAACAT